TTTAGGGTTTCGGGTTTAGGAGGTTTAGGAGGTTTAAGGGTTTAGGGTTCAGGAAGGTTTAGGGTTTAGGGTAGGTGCCCGAGTTGTACCCTTTTCCCCTTTTTCTTCTGGCCACCCCAGCGGACCTTTCTGTTTCTTTTTGGGTCCCCAAAGTAAAACAACTGGTAGGAGGAATAGTTCCCTTATTGTTGAGGGCCTATACTGGGGAACCTAGGAAACAGCGCTTGAGTGTTCAGGGATTCCTTTGAGGCTTTAGGGCTTAGGGTGAAGGCTTCCTTTAAGGGCTCCTCTAAGGGATCTATGTAGTGGTTTGGGTTTAGGGAGGTTTCGTAGGGGGTTTCACAAGGGCTTTGTAGGAGTTCATATTATACCCTAACCCTCCAGTACGGGCTCTGGTACCCTTTTTGTAGTAGGTACCTGGGGAATTAGGGATAGGAGGCCCAAACTAAACCGTCTTTGGGTATGCTTCCGCCTTGTGTCTTGACTTCCCAGAGAGGCCAATACCCCTTAATTAAGGAATATGCCTCGAATTATATGGGCCATTCAGGAATATGCCTTAAACTTTAGAAGCCTTAATTAAGGAATATGCCTTAAGTTTCTAGGGGCCTTAATATGATGATTTAAGGTATATTCCTTAATTAAGGGGTAGTGGGCGCTCTGGGTCTTGAGCACTCAGACCTTCTAGAGGTCTGTATTGAGGATTAATAAAGCTGCTGCACTAGGTAGCGATTTGGGGTAAGTGTCAGTTTCCGTTGTTGCGCTAATATAGAGCCTTAATTATAAATAGTTTTGGGGGTTGTTGAGATCGACGCCCAGTGCAACATTGAAGTGCATAGACCCGAAACCCTAAAGCCTAAAACCTTGAGCCCTAAACCCCTAAGCCCTAAAGCCCTAAACCCCTAAACCCTAAAACCCTAAACCCCAAAACCCTAAACCCCTAAACCCCAAACCCCTAAAGGACCCCCAACTCCAAGTCTAATCTCCAGGGCCCGGGGCCAAAGCTGAGGGGTGTCAATCTGCCAGTTCAAGGTAGTACGGGTCATGTGGACAGGCCGGAGTTAAGGCTTTGAGGGTGACAGGTTTTGTGGTGTAATATAAACACCTTAACTGGGCTGTGGAGTACCATACTTTAATACTTTTTTGGGGGACCTGTTCCTTAAAGGAACCATTATAAAATAGAAGTCTATACTTTTTTCTCCCTGGTTACTTCAAAGCCCAGTTAATAATTACCTATACTATGATGGGGGGCTCCATATTATAGACAGGAATCCTTAAATCTTTCAATCTTAAACCCTAGAAATGGCCAATCCTCAACAATCCCGAAGCCTTCAACCCTAAATGAACGCGAAACCTTCAAGCCGGAACTCCGAACCCTGAGGTTCTGCTTCACGCTCACCCTCGGCGAGCACGGCTGCGAGTGGTTTCAGATCTGGCTGGATGGCCGCCTGTTTCAAACAGGCATAGAAAAGGCTCACGGCGGGTTATTGTAAGACCCTCAACTCTGAGCATTAAATCCTTGGTGTTCTTCTGGCTGGCTCTTAGGACTTTAACTTTTTGGGTTTCTATATAACTAGAATAAGGAGACTAAAAGTTTAACTTTTTGGAGGGGTTCAGAAGTCAGCCAAGAATCCTTCATCCTGAGAAAGCCAGCTTGCAATGGTTTGCATTTGAAGGAATGCTTCGGTGCTGTTGGTACTAGGTCCAGTAATGCTTAGGGTTGCATAAGCTACTCTCGGAAAACAGCAGCCCTTTCAGCCCTCAAGCACGGCCCCCACTTCTTGTGTGTCGTGGTGAGACTGTTCGTGTTTAAGGCTGCTTATAGATCATTGTTGCAGGTTCCAGAAGCGTACTGTCGGGCCAATCATAGCACCTGAGTATACATTCTAGTGGTATCTCCAGTATATACAGTCTTCCTTCTCCCGAGAAGAGCACTATGCATGGCTTGGGGTTCCAGCCATCCGAGCGATGAGGCGTTCTTGTTCTTCGGGAGTGGGGTTCGCTTTGGACTGTGGCTTCAGGGGTGTTCATGTTACTTGGAAATCCTGCTTACGGAATAGCCTTCAATAGATTCACAAGCCTCACATATGACGGTGTAGATCTGGCCGTTCAGCAAGTCAGGTCGTTCTAAGCTGGAGGGTCCCCCCAGTTGCTTGAATGGGAGTTTACCTAGCCTTCTGGTGGTGTTGAGGGTTCGTTGCATTTGAGAGTGCTACCTATCCCGGACTGTTGCTGGCTCATCGCCAAGTTTCGGTTTAGGTTGTGGGTGCTATGACAGTCACTCTTCATCTGCATGCTGCGATGCCGACAAGGAGGGTGGTTTTGGGATAGAGTTCTGCACAGAGATCTTTCAAATCCAGAAGTCTTGTGCTGAATAATTCTGAGCACTTGCAGCCAATCAACAAACAGAGTCTAGGATCTTGTACACATGATAGTGCCATGCACAGTGAATCTCGACCGTAGTCAATTTCAGTCCCAGACCCTAAACCCTAAACCCTAAACCCTAGTTTCGCCCAGAGCCCAGGTGAAAAGGATCGGGTGCTCCATCCCGGATCGCTGCGGGGGGCCGGAGAGGAGCCGCCTAGTGCCAGTTCAACTTGGGCTCTCGCCCTAACCCTTAAATCCTGCACCCTAAACCCTAAACCCTAACCCCTGAATCCTAAACCCTAACCCCTAACCCCTAAAACATAAGCCAGTGCAACCTGGGCTCTCGCAAAGGAGCTGACAGTAGAGGCCCAAAAGTTGGAAACCTAATAGCCTCAATCCTTAAGAGTAATGTATAGGGAATCCCAGCACTAATTGTCCTTAACGAGGTTTCCAACTTTTTGGGCCCTGAACTTCAGTTGCCATTACATTATATGGAAAGCCTATCCTTTACTATAGAACCCTATGATGGTAACTTACATTATGTAAGCTTGCTAACAAGAGCCCAGCAACACACCATTCATGAAGGTTGTTGATGTAGGGCTTTAGGAAAGGATGCCTTAAGGGGTCCCTGTAAACTACCCTTGCGTTTCTCCGCCCGACCACAAGTACGATTGAACAGCACCAAATCCCCAGGACTGTTCTTTTTCCGACCGGCCACCAGCGTTTAGTTTGACCAGCTTACCAAAAAGCACGCAATTCCCACCACAGTTTTCCTTGAGCAGCTACCAAAATCACAACATCCCCAGTATGTTTTCCTCCCACCGATTACCAGCACGATTGAACATACACTTGTTCCAGGACAGTTTTGATTGACCAGCTACCAAAACCAGAACCGTCCTAGGCCGGTTTTCTCCGACAGACGGCAAGCACGATTGAACCGGCGTCCGTTCCAGGTCAGTTCTCTTTGACCACCTACAGCCTGCCACTAGCACAAAACTGTCTGGTGCTTAGTAGGGAATGGGGGAATGGGTTACAGGGACTACTATAAGGGACCTTAAGGGACTACCATAGGGATCCATTCCCCCATTCCCTACTAAGCACCAGACAGAAAATTCCCAGACCCGTTTTCTCCGAGCGACCACAAGCGCGGTTGACCATGCATCTTATTCCAGCCTGCAAGGGGGGTCGCGCCAGAGACTGTAAGGTCCTCCTGGTGTCAAGAGCCAGCTTCTTTTCTTACGCACTGAGCCAAGACAGCAGTTTGTACTTTGCACCTGGCGCGCAAAAGCCCGTGAAGATTTGGAAGCCCGCAAGCCCGAAGTTATCAACTCCGTGCGCCTCACGGTATTTTTCGTTGGTACTAAGCCAAACCCTAACTCAAGCACGAGGGGCCCCCTCTGTCGTCGACCTCTCGACATGATCAGGAGAAAGTGCAGGGGCCACATGCCTTTTGCCAGGCCCAAGTGGTGCGAAAGTGCAGATAGTGTCGGGTGCTTCGGGTGTTTTGGGCTCGGCATCTTTGGCTTGGGGTGGAGGCCTTTGGATTTCCTAGGGTGTAGCGTAGTCCCCGTCGGTTTGGATTTCAGCGCTGTGCGGATAGTCAGTGTGCTTTAGTTTTTCGGTTTACCCTGGCATGCTCATGCTAGCGTGCATTGCTCAGGGCGCAGTGGGCCCCTTAGGAATATTGGTAAGTCTACAGAGGGTTCTACAGAGAATGGGAAGAGCAAACCGCCCATAATATGTGAGAAGTCCGGGCGGTTGGTATCGAGACAAACCCTCCCTAAACCCTAAACCCTATAAACCCTAAACCCTAAACCCTAAACCCTCAACCCGAACTACGACATGGGACTCCAGCTGCCTACACTGCCTGCAATTTGAACCATCCCGGAGGCTCCCAAAACCCCCTAAACTGGAAAAAAAAAGCCCTCAATTCCAAATTCTCAAGACCTACATGCTGTAATCTTGATTCCTGAATGTTTTTAGTGCCTGCGGTTTGCAGAGAAGACGGATTTAGTTGACCTAGGGCAGATGCAAATTGTGGTCCGAGTTGCTGGTTGGGGCCTGTCATGTCTATCACGGTCGATGTGCATCTGCTGAGCGGCAAGACGATTTCTCTGGAAGCGCGTGCACATGCATCCGTTGATTTGCTGTCCCAAGATGCTCAGAGGGCCCTGGGAGTCGGCAAGGGCAGGCTGTTGAATGCTGTTGGAAAAGTTCTGGATGGGGAGACAAGCCTCGAGAGCGCTGGAGTGCAAAGTGGTGACCTGCTAACTTTTCATGTGACGCAGGTCCGTGTTGCAGCCTCGAAGCAAGCCAAGCAAAGCTACGCTGATGGAGCCGCTGCCTTCGCTGCGATCCTCGGAAGTGGATCCGTAGTGGTCTGGGGAGATGCTGACTTCGGTGGGGATAGCGCGGCCGTAGAGCATCAATTGAAGGATGTGTGCCAGATCCAGGCTTCGAACAGCGCTTTTGCTGCGATTTTGGGCAATGGAGCCGTGGTAACTTGGAGCGACTCGAAGTCTGACGGTGACAGCAGTGCTCCGCAAGACTTGCTGGATGTGCGGCAGATCCAAGCTTCTGCCCATGCTTTTGCCGCCATCCTGGGGAACGGGTCTGTGGTGACCTGGGGCCATCCTCTCCACGGCGCAGACAGCCAGGTTGTGCAAACTCAGCTGAAGGACGTGCGCCACATCCAGGCTTCTAACGGCGCGTTTGCTGCGATCCTCGGCAATGGCTCCGTCGTGACTTGGGGTGATGCCCTTTACGGTGGTGACAGCGGCTCGGTTCAGGATCAGCTAGAAGATGTGCAAGAGATCCAAGCATCCGCCTGTGCTTTTGCTGCAATCCTCGGCAATGGATCTGTTGTGACCTGGGGCCACGTACTGTACGGTGGCGACAGCTTTGCTGCACGAGATCTTCTTAAAGATGTGCAACAGATCCAGGCTTCCAGCAGTGCCTTCGCTGCGATCCTCCGCGATCGATCCGTGGTAACCTGGGGCCATCCTCTTCACGGCGGCAACAGCAAGGCTGTACAAGATCACTTGAAGGACTTGGTGTTCTTCTCGTTGGCTCTTAGGACTTTAACCTTTTTGGGTTTCTATATAACTATAATAAGGAGACTAAAAGTTTAACTTTTTGGAGGAGTTCAGAAGTCAGCCAAGAGGATGCGAGACAGATCCAAGCTTCGGCCCATGCCTTTGCAGCTGTCCTCGGCGACGGTTCTGTCGTGACATGGGGTGACGCTGACTACGGCGGTGACAGCAGCTTGGTTCAAGCGCGGCTAAAGGATGTGCAACAGATCCAAGCTTCCAACTGTGCTTTCGCCGCGATCCTTGGCAACGGATCTGTGGCGACCTGGGGCGACTCGGGTTCTGGCGGCGACAGCAGAGCTGTACAAGATCAGCTGAAGAATGTTCAACAAATCCAGGCTTCTGCCTTTGCTTTTGCGGCGATCCTCGGCGATGGATCTGTGGTGACCTGGGGTCATGCAGGGTGTGGTGGTGACAGCAAGCTCGTGAAAGAGAAGCTGCAGGATGTGCACCACATCCAAGCCGCTGGTTGTGCTTTTGCTGCGATCCTCGGCAATGCTTCAGTGGTGACTTGGGGTGATGCATCCAGTGGTGGCGACAGCAGGGCTGTCCAAGACAAGCTGACTGGACATTTGCTGTGATGCCTCGCTTGACGCAGGCGGTGTTTGTCGATTCTCGGCGCCGGCAGCGAACTGTCCGGCGGCGTCAACCCATGACGTCACGGTGTCATCGGACAGGAAGTCCTTGCAAGTGCACCATGTCTCCTGAGTGTGGAGCAACATACCTAAACTCAAGTCCCCATCGACTCTACACCCATCGCCAAACCCCAAATGCCCTCAAAGCCCTATAGCCCAATTGCTAAGCCTTTAAACACCAAAGCCCACAGGTCCAACTCCTCCGCGCTGAATCCTGACCCAACCCTGAGAGGATTTAGCGATCATTATAGAGAGCTCATGGGTATTTACGGTTTAGGGTTTAGGGTTTAGTGTTTAGGGAGTTCTCTAAATTAGGGTCCCTTTTTGGGTCCCTTTTATAAGGGTGCCGTACTACATTTGGGGACCGAAAAGGAGTTAGTGATGACCATTTCTATTTTCTAACCATGCACCCCCTGGGGTTGGGGGTTGAGGGTTACAAGGATGATTTTCAAAGATGGTTCATTGGGTTGGGGCTTTGGGCTGGGGTTTGAGGGTTAAAAGGATGATTTCCAAAGATGGTTTATTGGGTTGGGCATAGGGGGGGGAATAGAAATGGTCATCACTAACTAAAGGGACCCTAATTTAGAGAACTACCCTCATCAGCGCCCACTGAATGCCCCCAAGAGTCTCCTCAAGTTACCTCAACCAGAGCAGAGAAGCCACAGCCGAAGAGGACAGTCTGAAAATCACAGACCTCACGACCTAAAGCCTTCAACCATGAGCCCTACTACGGTTGATGATATAAATCCTGCATTACCCATAATAAGGAATAACTCCCATAGTTCGGGGTCCTCATGGCGCTGCAGGATGCGTATCATCAACAGCACAACCCTCACCAAACCCTCTTCTAATATCAGCGAAATACCCACTTCCGTACGAGAAGGAACCCTTCTGAAGCCCATGCCCTGAATCCTAATGTAAGGTGCTAAACCATTACCCGTTTCAATACCATAATTATAGTGTAACTAACCTACCCCAAAACCCGGTTCTAATTGTTAAGGATCATTAAGGCTCTTACATTACACCCGATGCAGGCTGCCATCTACGGCTGGGCCATTGACACACGACCCAGGAGTGCCACCACGGATGTACGAGGCGGCCGCGGAACTGGGATCGAGTCGAAAGGGTATTGGGGCGTATGGGTTGAGGGTTTAGGGTTATGGGTCTGTTGCTTTTGGGGTTTTGGGGTTTGGGAGCTGAGGTGTTAGGGTTTCTCGGTTTAGGTTTTTCGGGTTTAGGGTTCAAAAATTTACGGGGGGCCTTTCTGAAAAAGGGTTTACTAATGCATTTCGAGTGTGTGGGATGCTGGGCTTTCGTTTTGTGTTGAAATGTTCACGCGGCGAGCCTGCTAATCTCTTGTTCCGCAACTCACAGTAAATGTGCCTTACAGTCCCTAGGTGCTGGGTTTCGGAGTTTAGGGTTAGGGTATGCCCCAAAAGCGCAAGGCGTGCATTTGGGGTTATAGGTTCATTCGGGTTAGAGGGTTTAGTTAGGGTCTATGGTCACAGGGTCAGGGTTTTGGGCTTAAGGTTAACAGGGTTTGGGGTTTGGGCCCAATGCGTGTCCTTGTGAATCTCTCGTATCTCGGATGTCTCCCGTAGCACTAACATGCCGGCACATCATCTATTGCCCAGCACGCGAACCCCATGAAAGCTTTTTCACTTGCCTGCACAAGCCCCAGAAACCCCAAGCCCGTAACCCTAAACCCTAAACCCCTAAACCCCAAACCCCTAAACCCCTAAACCCTAAACCCCTATACCCCTAAACCCTTAAAACCCTTAAAACCCCTAAACCCTGAACCCGAATTCCCAAACCCTGAAAACCTAAATCCGACTCCCAACAGCTGAAACAACCCTCAGTCCTAATCCCTTTTTTCTGGGCCCCCGAAAGTCTGTAGGACGATAGACTTTGATACGAGTGGGCCATGATTTTACCTACTTTGGGGGGTTCATATGGGGGTTTGGAGTGTATATATGCGCTTTAGGGCTTTAGGGCTTCGGGCTTTTGGGGTATAGGATTTAGGGCTTAGAGGTTTAATTTAGAGTTTGGGGTTTGGGCTTCAGTTCCGCCTATGTTTACGAAGCGCAGTGTTTCCATGCGTAGGTTTTTAGGGCGCAGCTCAAGATGATCTCATGATCAGCGGCAGTTGTGGTTCAAGCCGGGACTTGGTGTTCTTCTGGTTGGCTCTTGGGACTTTAACTTATTGGGTTTCTATATAACTATAATGAGGAGACTAAAAGTTTAACTTTTTGGAGGGGTTCAGAAGTCAGCCAAGGGGACATTCTGCAATTGAGAGATTCTGAATGACGACCCGTGGCCCACAACTAGCATCCTCACCTCCAAACCTTCTTCCAGAACCGAAGAATGTGGCAAAACTCGATTTTCGATTTTCCGCGTAGTGCTGGAAATGCTGCGGATTCGGGCACTGTCCGGTGAAAGCCTCAATGAGATTGAGCTGGGAAGCTTTCTGGAGATGCTTCCTGCAGAGATGAGTCCTGTCCCGGCACTGAAGCAGGCATTTGCACAGCGTGCTTGGACTGTCCAGGTTCAGGCAAAGGCTGCTACTTGATGTTATTCTGGATGGCTCTTAGGACTTTAACTTTTTTGGGTTTCTATATAAGTATAATAAGGAGACTCGAAGTTTAACTTTTTGGAGAGGTTCAGAAGTCAGCCAAGGCTATATCTGGGTGACGACACGTTTGTAGATGACGATCACACCTTGACAACTGGCGAAGTTCAGGTCCTTCTTCTAAGCTTCTGCCGGGCATCTACAGCGCAAGTGACAGCACTTCGGGATGCTGCCAGAAGCGGCCTCACAATACGCAGCTCAGAAAGGCCACCTCGAGGTGACACGCCTGTTGCTGGAGGCCAATGCGGAGAAGGATAAAGCTAGGCAGAATGGCGCCACTCCTTTGTGTATCGCAGCTCAGAAAGGCCACCTCGACCTCGAGGTGACACGCCTGTTGCTGGGGGCAAATGCGGATAAAGACAAAGCTGAGCAGAATGGCGTCACCTCTTTGTACATCGCAGCTCAGAATGGACAGCTGGAGCTTGCACAGCTTTTGCTTGAGGCCAATGCACATACAGATAAAGCTGTGCAGAGTGGCGCCACTCCTTTGTACATTTCAGCTCAGAAAGGACATTTGGAGGTAGCATGGCTTTTGCTTGAGGCCAGAGCGGATAAGGACAAAGCATTGGAAGATGGCGCCACCCCTTTGTACATCGCAGCTGAGGATGGGCAGTTGGAGGTTGCAAGGCTTTTGCTTCAGGCCAAAGCGGATACAGATAAAGCTAGGCAGAGTGGTGCCACCGCCTTGTACATCTCAGCTCAGAAAGGACATTTGGAGGTAGCACGGCTTTTGCTGGAGGCCAATGCAGATACAGGTAAAGCTAGGCAGAATGGCGCCACTCCGTTGTACATCTGAGCTGCGAAAGGACATTTGGAGGTAGCGCGGCTTTTGCTTGAGGCCAAAGCGGACAAGGACAAAGCTGCGCAGAATGGCGTCACTCCTTTCTACATCGCAGCTCAGAATGGACAGTTCGAGCTTGCGCGGCTTTTGCTGGAGGACAAGACGCAAGAGACTGGCGCCACTCCTTTGTGCGTCGCAGCTAAGGCTGGACCGTTGAAGGTTGTTCGCCGCTGGCAACGGAAGCGGGCATGAGCCGTCTGCGCTGGAGGCCAAAACAGACAAGGCGGCCACGCCTTAGCCCGGAGTGGACAGCAGGAGGTTGCGTGAACACAGCCTCTCTACTCTAAAAACCCATAATAGGCCCCTGTTAACCCGTAAGACCCCATAAAGCCTCTTGAATTTTGTAAACCTCTCAAATCCCCGTAAACTCTCAGACCCCCAAAATCCAACCCTAAACCCAAATTGCCATTTGCCAATGCTCCACCGACTACATTGCATTCCCGGCCTGTCCATCTAGCCGACCTCGCCGAGACCTCTGAACCCGAACTGAGACCGGCAAAGTCCCGGTTTCAGCTTCCAACTGGCGACATGCTCTGAAGCCTCTGTCCAGCTTAACCGGCCCTAAACCCTAAACCCTAAACCTGAACCAAGATTTTCAGACTCCCGGGCATCTCAAAGGCAAGACTCTCATCTCCAGCTGCTCGGATTCATCTGCAGCTGCCCTCTCCCCAAACATCCATTCACTGCACAGAGAACCGTAGAGTTTAGGGTTTAGGGTTTGGGGTTTAGGGTTTAGGGTTTAGGGTTTGTCTAGGCAAGCCTGAAAACCCTGAAGTCTCATGCTTGCGGGCAGTAAGGGCAGTAAGGGCCCCGCAGTGGAACTTGAAAAACCGAGAAGGACTCCCTAAACCCTAAACCCTAAACCGACTCACAAGGTAAGACCCAGAGAAGGTGAGAAGCTGCTACCCGGAGAGCCCCATGAGGTTCCTCAGGAGCCCGACAGCCCGAGACGAAGGTCCCCGGGGGAGCAAACAACAACCCAGGACACACGGTGGGTTTAGGGTTTAGGGTTTAGGGGTTTAGGGTTTATGGTTTAGGGTTGATGGACAAAATCCTGCATGACCTTCTATACCTAAACTATGGGATTTATGGTACTATACTATATTTGGGTCATGCAGAATTTTGTCCATCAACAGCAGGAGTCCAACCGCATGAACCAAAGGAGCAAACAAGCCCGGTCACAGCAGTGCAACTGCATGGGACAGGGCACAAAGGAGCCAACAACCCAGGACACAGGAGTCCAACCGCCTGAGACAGCCCACAGAGGAGCAAACAACAACCCAAGACATAGGGGGTTTAGGGTTTAGGGTTTAGGGCAGTCCGACCGCATGAGAAAGAGCACAAAGGAGCAAGGAACAACCAAGGACACAGGAGGAGTTCGACCGCGTGAGAGACTGCACACACAAAAGCTGTTCCTTGAGCGGTTTAGGGGACTTAGGGTTCCTGTCAGGGTACTCTAGGGTTCTATAATATAGGATCCCTTTAAGGGTACTATAGGGTTCTAGAATAGGATCCTTAAACCCTAAACCCTAGAACGGGGTACTATAGGGTTCTATAATAGGATCCCTAAACCCTAAACCCTTGGAAACCGAAGCCCTGCCGTTCCGGATCCCTGCGGTGCGCAGGGGAACCCAAAGCCCTGGCGGATATCGGGCCGGCAGTCCCAGAGTTTAGGGCTTTAGGGTTTAGGGTTTAAGGCTTAGGGTTTAGGGTTTAGGGCTTTGGGTTTAGGGTTTAAGGCTTAGGGTTTAAGGCTTAGGGT